TCCATAAGAGAGGATATTCCCATATTATGAAGGCTGACTGGATCTCTGTGGCAATGTGGAGGTTGTGTATTCCTCATGAACTTCCTAATTGCTTAACAGAAAGAAGCCTGTAGTCTGGTTATAGAGGAATTTGATAAGAATCCTAGCAAGATTAGTGCCGTGATAGGAGGCAGTAGGACATTGGCCTGATTTTTAGTGATATTTTATTTTCCTGGGTGTCATAAGTCTACTCAGAGGAACATATTGTTGAAACATGCATTTGTGAATTTAATGGTGTAGGTGTTCTCTGAATGGGAATAGTGGACTAGATTGAGGGATGATATAGTGCATTCTCTCTCCTCTCCTCACTCCTCTCTCTTTTCTCTCTTCCTCTCCCTTAGTATCTGTCTCAGTCATGCATTACCTTAATCCATTATCTTAGGTCTACAGTCAGCTTTGATTTTATGTGGACTTGTGTGAAATCCATCCCAGTGCTATGATGTGGGCTACATAAGGTATATATATGTGTTGTAATGATAAATATCAAGCCCATATTAGTATAGACATGTATATACATGGGAGACATACAGGTACATCCATATAGACACCTGTTTTGCTCGAAGTAGGTGATGGTTCATGATAGGAAATGCTACTGGCACTGTATAAAAGTAGGTGTTCAGGTAACCTACATTATGTAGGTCGCGATATCTTTGTCTGTGGTTCTTTTATTCTTACAAGGAAAAAGTGGGCAGAAAATTGAAGCTGGGGTTGAAAGATTTGCATGAAATAAAGATGATGACGGTGTGTTTTCTGCCTTGTTTGATAAATCAGACTGGTGGAATTAGTGGCTCCCGTGTTTTTTCTCTGAATTTTATTTTGCCTGAGGTTAGAGCTACAAGCTGTACATCTGGTGTATTTTAAGTGTGATACATGAGCTAAAGAGGGACAAAAGATATTTTAAATAGTTATTTTAGGAATGGAATTTTGGTTTTAGTATTGCACTGTACTGTAGTTCAGGTTAAGTACAAGTCTTCCTGTTTTTTTATCATTTCTAGAAGTAGGAAGTGGGAATATGCATAAAAGTATTTTACACACTTATAGACAAATGCCGGCACACATGCACACAAACACTTGTTCGCTCACTCGCACATACTCACTCACAGTCTCATGCACACACTCACTCACAGTCTCACGCACACACTCACTCACTCACACTCTTAAGTGCACACGCACACATACACACACGCACACACACACGCACACACACACACACACACACACACACACACGCACACACACACACACACACACACACACACACACACACACACACACACACACACACACACACAAAAGCCTGTCAAACAGGTGCTTTAGTGAAATTGCATTAGATACTTTCTTGAGATGTGCAAACATTGTTTACTTTCCAACACTTTCTTGTGTTAATTAGGATCTGACTTATTCTGCAAGAGCTGTATGCATAGCTTGTATGAGTTATTTTTGTTTCGTTAAAGTTCTCACAAAGGCCTGTCCAACATAAGTACTCATTTAGGTAATATACATACATGCATACATACATACATACATACAAATTACCCTCAATATTGTTGGCTTTACTCTCAAGCATCTAAATAGCAATATATGACAGTGTCACTGTTTGTGCTGTTCATCCTATTTTTGTTAGTTGACTCCAGTGATTGGGAAAGAAGCCAACCCCAGTAGGTGGGGAAAACTTCATGAATTATGTCCTGGGGAGATAGCAAGGAATGGAGGAATAGAAGGTGACATAATGAACATTGGTGATCACTGCTAATAGACCCATTGTACATGACCTGAAAGTTGTTAACAAGACACACACGTGCACACACACGCACTTTCACACTCAAACTCACACACACGCACATGCACACACGAACACACACATGCACATTGTTGGCTTATCTGGTAGAATTAGCTATAAATATCATGTATAAAGTTTTGGTCTTGTATTCAATAGCGAGAGAGAGACAAGAGAAAGTTCTTTTATCCCTTTTGTGACCAAAACAAGAATTTGAGAGCTTTCAAAAACACTTAACAGTTACAATTCCAAAGTGTATATCTTCAGTGTATATCGTATCACTTGTTTATGATCCAGGAGTTTGCAGTTTACCAGTATCACATGGTAGTATTATGTTGATAATGTCTATTTTTCATAATAAGATTCACAAGCTCCCAATAATGAATCCGTTTATCTGGAAACCACCCTTTTAATGGCCTTTTCCTTTGGTATTACAGAGTATAGGATACCATGGCAGGAAGAGGAGGCTTGATGACGTCTGGAGGAGGGGGCTCTGGCTCAGCAGGAGACCCAAGCAACCAGCCCATGGACCTGGCACAGAAGACAGTCGCCAGGTCACTAGAGTCGGTGAGTCGCTGCGTCTCCGTTTAGTTTGGTGATGGTTGGTTTATTTTCACTTTTGTCTTGGCTCTTATTTCCTTTCTCCCCCCCCCCCCCCTTTCCTCTAAATCTCCCCGTTAGTATCGTACTCACCATAAGACTTGAAATCATGAGTGTGGTGCTGGTGTTTCAGGGAGGCATAGTCAAGAGCGGAGGAACCACGCTCGTCCACTACACAACGGGGGTTCAGCAGATTCTCACCACAAGTGGAACAACTGCACATGTGGTCACTGCCAAACCTAGTAAGTTAGAGTTCGGTTTTAGTTGACATTTCAAGCATCCCTGTGCATTTTTTTATATGTGTATATTTTATTCTAGAGATTTAGTGCCAAATAAAGTTTATTATTCTCTCCCTCTCCAGTTGGCAGGACAGAGAGCATGGGTGTGGCAGGTCAGACCGTGACTCTTGTGTCGCGTCCTTCTGCCCCTCCATCAGCTCTCAACCTAGCATCACAGGGCCCAGGAGGAGGCAGTGGTGGTCCTTCACTGAGGACTGTGTCGCATGCCCCGGGGGGAACCACCACCAGCACAGTGGTAACTTCAGCGTCCACCTACCACATCCCACGTGGGGCGGCTGCTGTGGCCAACATCGCTGCCCCAAGGTCCCAGACGGTGGCTACGCCCATCATGAGGACCAGTGCACAACCTATTGGCCAACCAGGCTCTAATGTCCCTGGGCCGTAAGTACATAGTTTTCTTCCCATCTCTTTCATATGAGTTACCTGACATTAGTTGGAATGGTTATTTTCTTTATATCAATGATAATAGTGATATAACCCCTTTCTTTAATACTTTGTATAGCCAATAATCAGTTGATAAATTATAAAGAAGGTCACAATTCACATAAAGGGATACCACTAATTGAACACCCAACTGCCCTCACCCCAAACCAGGAGAGGAAGTGTGGTAGGTCAGCGATTGGTACCGGCTTCAACGAATGGAGGCTGGATTCGAAACACACCTTCCCCAGCACACACGGGCAAGGTCACAGGACTGTCCATGCACCCTGGGGTCACCGCACCCAATGTCAGGTGAGCAGGATGAGTGGCTGGCTGTTGTAGCCTACTGAATTTACTGAATTTTCCCCTCTTTTTCTTTCTTCCTTTCTTTTCTTAACACATGTTTCTGTTTCCTCTCAAAGTTTTCATCTTAGACACACATTGCCATTACTTCTGGCACATATTCCTTCTTTTAACCCAAATCTGATGGGCATGGCATGTATGTACATGCCATGCCCACTGTGAGTTTACTTTATTTATTGTTTTTACACTTATATTAAGTCACCAATGAGCCAATTACGAGTACTGCCTGTCTCACCTGTTTACCCTTTTCCTTGATTTTCAAAATATTTTACTTTATCATGTATTGCTGTTACTAATGTCTATAACATTATTGTGATTATAATGTCTATAGTAAAAATAAGACCATCAATATTCATTGTATTAGTTAAATAAATAATATTTTTCCCGCCAATTCAAGGAAAGGTGAAATCAGGTAAGGTCACAAGGTCTGCTAATTGACTCCTTTGTGGCTAAGCACTTGCAGAGCCATCTATGTGCAGAGACATTTCACAAAAGAATATATATATAAATAATAAAATAAAGAAATGAGCACAGCATTTTTCCAGTGGCATTGAGTTAACCGTGCCTCTCTTCCCCAGTCTGGGTGTCCAGAGGCCATCAATGCCAATGCCTCGTCTAGGACCGGGTGGCGGGGCTATAACGACATACCACACAGGAGTTCGGCCGGGCATTGTCTCCAGTGGCTCTATCAGAGGGCCGGGCACTGCCACCATGCGAGGGATGGTGACGTCGGAGGGCGCAAAGGGCACGGGGCCCAAGGCGGTGCACATCACACAGCCCATTGGACCACAGGTGGGTTGGGTTACCTGGTGGAGTGCTGGGTAGGGTTGGAAGATTATGGGTTTCACTGGTATTTCAGGTGCTTGAGTGTTAGTGAATTTGCCTTGATTCATTGTATTCCATTTATATTTATGTATATGTATGAGACATATAAAGTTTGTATATGGGTATACGTGTGTGCGTGTATTCTCTTGACAATATTTGCCTAACATCTCTATCTCTCTCTCTCTCTCCTTCCCTCCCAGAAATATGGGGGCATGGGTGGCGTGATGAGTGGCAGTGGGCGCAGTGTGGTGGCCTCTGGGGGTGGTGCAGGGGGAGGGTCCTCCTCAGGTACCATCTATAGCCCTGGCAACCCCATGGTAACCACAATGTCTGGGCCAGGAGTGAACCCACAGACCACCATCAGAACACAGGCTCCCCCAGCCATTGCAGTCAGAATCACAACAGCACCAGTGTCTACAGCGACATCATCTTCACAGGTACTTACCAGATTTCTCTGTCTCTCTCGCTCCTTTTTTTTTTCCCCCCCTTCCAATGTTATTTATTTTATTCTTATGATCTTGTTTTGGAAAAGGAGTGTGCCATCAGCCTTGAGTAAAACCTGACCCTCCTCCTCCCTTCTAGGTGACCTCCCAGGCTGGCACAAGTATTGGTGCCATTTCCATGACATCCCCCTCTGGATCATCCCCCGGTGCCATCCTGACACACCAGTCACCCTTGCACAGGACACAGCAGGACCAGGTTCCTCTCAAGACCCCAATTGGTAAGGGTGCCTGTTGTTTTAGGTTACAAGAGTTTAGTTTTCCTGGTAAATTGTATAATGTAAGAGAGGCTACTGTCTTGTGTGTTAGATATTGGAGGTAAAGGCTGTGTGGTTCACTATGATTTTATGCAAGAGTTTTTTTTGTGTGTGCTTGTGTAAGTGCATGCATGTTAAAATGTAATAACTCCCTTGTAGATAAAAAGGTTACAGATGATTAGATATCCACAGATTGGGTGGCTCCTTGTGTACATGTGCACTCTAAGTCACTGTTTTATCTGTCTTTTTTCTTTTCTGTTCTTTCTTTCTTTTTCTTTTACTGTTCTTTGCTTACATGGTATTTGTCAAATACCAAGCCTTTTGGTAATCTTTGAGACCCGTTGATAAAACCTTGTACTCCTCTGTCTGTGAAAGGTCAGTGACCTTCTCAGGCAAAAAATCTCTGTTCTCTCTTCCTCCTGTTTCTAATCCGTGACTGAAGGTTCAGGTCTCGGGTAGAAAAGAATTAGAATTAGTAGAAAATGCATTTGATCCATATGTGATTTACAAATTAGTAATTATTACTGTTTACATTTCAAACTGTTATACCTTTTTTCTTCTTCTTTTTGCTGAAACTTGAGTAATAACATTTGTTTTTTTACTGCTTTTTACCTCCTTTTCCGTTTTTTAGATGGCATCGTTGCCAGCCCATTCCCATATGAGAATGTTGATTTCCTTTTTCACTAATTAACTAAAAATCATTCACTTCATAGGTTCTGTTGTGATGTGATGTTTTTTTCCGTTCTTTCTTTATTTCATTCTTTCTTTCTCTTTTCTGCATTCAATTAAAATGCTAAATTTTAAATCATTTACACCATATACAAACTTCACTTATAGGCTGCATCTTAAAATAACCCAAGAAACAGACACCTCTGCCTGCGGGTCCCAAGCTCACAATTGGAATAATCATTCAGAATTACCTATCTTATCCTCCGGTACAGTTCGGACTCCTGTGGCTTCACACCAGAGCAAGGGCGGGGTGCAGGCACAGACTCTAACCTTTTCCGAGGGGCCGAAGGTGATCACACAGCCTGCACAGGGCCCACCTCTGGCTCTTGCACAGATCTCAGGCTTGGCAGGGGTTACTACCCAAAAGGCCCAGGTCAACACTCATACTGTGTCACAGCAGCACACTCCTAGTGTCCAGCACAGACCCGGTAAGCTTGTATACATGCATACATACATATTCATAAGTGCATTCCCATTCCCATGCATCCCCAAGTCCCATTCTATATTATTTTTACAATGGGTTAGAACTAATTTATTGGTCAATCATTTATATGAAATCAAGTATATATTTTAAGATTTTTATCTTGCAATCTCTTTCAAGCAACATATAGCCTGGATAATGATGATCAACCATTTACCTCAGAAAGTTTCAATCAGTAAAATGTCCAGTACAATATCTGTGAATAAGAAAAACAGCAAGCGAGTAAAGTGCTTCCTCCTCCTCTTCACCACCTTTCCTGACCCCGTCCTTTGACCCCAGGTGGCAGCGTGATGGGCAGCAGTGTAGGGCGAGTGATGGGGGGGACAGGAATCCCGGTGGCCAAGGTCCTGCCCCAGCAAGCAACAACCCCAAACCAGGGGTCTGCATCTGTTGCTGGCCCCCCCAGGGGATCCCATGGGCAGGTGCGCGCTCAGTCCCCTGGCCAGGCAGCTGACCCGCAGGCTCCCCACACCAATGTGTTCCTACAGAGACCTCATGCAGGTAAGGGTGCATGGATTTTTGTGTGCAAGATGAAAGATGGATGTCAAAAATGTTAATGTAGTCTTTGTCCATGCCAGCTAAAGATATTGAAAAGAGAAAAAAATGTATGTGAGTGTTTAAAGTCATACCTCTAATTTCTTCCTTCTGTTCAAACATTCTAGGGGTGACAGTGACAAGTGGCACACCCTCAGGTCAGGCAGAAAGGGTTGTAACAACAGTTCCCCAGTACAGCATTGCACCACCCTACTACTATGAACAAGGACAAAACACTTACCAGGTTTGTATACATGATGTAACCTTGATTATGCTGCTATTTTCATGACTGATGCAACAGTGGATGTTAGTGTACCAAATAGACACCATTGTCATGTTTCTTCATCTTCCAAACCGTGAATAACTTCTCATCCTTCCATCGCTGCACCCCAAGGTTGGTGGCCCCACTCTTGTGCCGCACACCCTGAGCTCCACCCACTACGTCCCAACCAACGTCCAGAGTGGCTCCCTCAGAGTGACCGGGGGAGGACCCAATGCCAGCACAGGTGCAGCTCCAGGCCATGGAGGGGGCCCAGGTCAGATTGTTGAGGGTCCAGGGGGACAAGCACCTGCCCCCCTGCCAGCCATGAAGCCTGGCGCCTCCCCAAGGCCTTCCATCCTACGCAAGCGGCCTGATAGCGATGGGTTAGTGTTGATTCTCTGGAGTATGCACTTGGAATGTTATATACTTTATATTCTTTTATTATTCTACTTCTTTCTTCTCCTTTTCCTTTTCTTTTAAAGTTTGTATTAGTTAGAGATAATATTTTTTGTTATCAGCCACTACTGAAGTTAAATGTGTCATTGCTGTTGGGTTAGCCACTTTATTAGGTATCAACCACTAGGTACCATTCATCAAATCTCGGATCGTCTTTCCTCAAACCACAGGACACCCCTCAAAGCCGCCAAGAATCTCACGGCTGCTCTGTGCCTCCCCATGCCCTCACCACCCTCCCCCAAACGCCCAGACTCCAGAGGGAATGGGAATGCATCGTCAGGCTCGACAACCATCTCAGCCAATTCCTCTCCTGGTAGGTAGCGTTCATTTGTCCCTGTGTGGTATTTGCTCTTAGTTGGAATTTTTCTTATCTTTTTGTTTATTTTCTATTTTTTCTTTTCCATCCTTGCTGTCTCTTCCCTCTTCCCTTACTCTCTTCTCCCTTCCTCCCCTTCTCATTGAAATCTGTTAATTGTTAGATAAATGCAGATGAATTGCAGTGGTCATTAACGATCGTGTTTGCTTGCTTACGTCTTTGCTGGCTTGTCAAGCTTTGAGAATTACCCTGTTTTGAGAACTAGAATATTCAAAACAGAGTTCTCTCCTGTTACCAAACAACTGGTTGTTAGTGTGTGGATTGATTAACAGATGTTCAGTATAGCTTCATTGCTGATCTTTTACCTTTTTTGTACATCAGTACTTTTATTTTTTACTTGTTTGCTGTTTTGGTGAGTATGATGGGAATATCTAGGCTAAAAATGCAGTTGAACTGCTTGCATGTGGTGATGAAATTCATGATGCCTCATGTCTCTTTCCTCTTCTGGCTTTGGGGCCAAGGAGCTTTAAAGACTATACACTGATGCTGATCTTTGATAGGCATTTATGATTATTGTCTTTTCTTAAAGTTTTGATCTGTTCTCTATTCTCTTCACTTCTCTTTCTCTCCATTTGCTCCTCCTTTCCCATCCATCCCTTTGAGACAATGAGCTTTTTTTTCGAATGCCATGCATGTACATAGCCATACAGCAATTGATTGTCTTTATGTTTGTGCTTGTTTAACATTGGATGTGGAAAATGTTTAATTGCATCTCCCAGGGTAATTAATGATGTTTGGGCTTGCGATTAATGCTATGCTGTGGCTTCTTTAATGCCTCTCTGTGTCTGGGTGTAAAGAATATCATTTTTGGGGGGGTGAACTACCTGCAGTGTGGTGGCATTCATGCTAGCTAGAACCCTTACCTGCTTTTGTACTGTGAGCCGTGTGGTACTAACTGTGGCCATTCTTGTGCTCTGAAGACTCATCCTTATCAGGGCTGCAAATCGAGGAGCTGGATGGCAGCAGTGGAGGCGCCGCCACCGGGAACAGCGCCGAGTTGCGGACACCCCCCAGCATCAAGCAGGAGCCCCCCGAGGATGCCACTGTGGTCCTCCCCCGCCAGCCTGTGCTCTGCTCCATGAGCGAGACTTCGGCCGGCCTCACCACCGGCATTGTCACCACCACACTCAACGTGCCGCAGCCCCACCTCTCTGTCACAGGCATGCACGGGGCCTCGCAGGCGTTGGCTGACGGCCTCTCTCCTAGGAAGAAGCCCAGAAAGCAGCAGCTGTGAGTACCTTTTCATTTCATTTCTTTGGCCTTCTGAACACAAAAGGGAAATACATTGTTGTCTGTGATGAACCCAATGCTGCCGGGGAAAATGAATAAAAGATGGGGGAAATGCTGTGCTCATTTTTTATATTTTTTGTGAAGCGTGTCTGCATATAGATGGCTCTGCTAGCATTTAGCCACAAAGGAGTCGATTAGTAGACCTTGTGACATTACCTGATTTGAATTGGCAGGAAAAATTTATTTTTTACTAGTGCTATGACTATATATTGTGTTATTTTTATTATAAACATTAGTAACAGCAAAATAAGATAACATAAAATATTTTCATAAATCAAAGAAAAGGGTAAACAGGCTAGACAGGCAGTACTTGTAACTGGCTCATCGGTGACTTAGTACAAGTGTAGCCATCTATGTGTAAAAAGAATCAAACAAGTAACTCACAGTGGGCATGGCATGTACGTATACATCATGCCCGTCAGCATTGGGTTAAACATGGGAATTGTCATTGTAGTGATAAGTCTGAATGCTCTTCGTAAAAAAGAATAATCATCATTATCATGTAAAACTGTTAAAATTAGCCCTTGTATTCCATGGATGTGTGGGTGAGTGGAGTAACCTTTTGTATGTGTGCTTACATGTATAGATATTTATTTATTTATATTGTTATTTAATTATTTCTTTCATTTTAATACAAAAGGTGTTCCTTTTGGATTGAAGTTGAGGTAGTCTCATAGGATTTTGTTAATATTAATAGTTGTTCTCTTTTTATGTCTAGACAAAGTGAATTGAGAAGTTGTATTCTTCATTTCATGTTATTTAAAACTGATACTGAAAACTAGAAAAAAAAAAAAAAAAAAAAAAAAAAAAAAAAAAAAAAAAAAAAAAAAAAAAAAAAAAAAAAAAAAAAAAAAAAAAAAAAAAAAAAAAAAAAAAAAAAAAAAAAAAAAAAAAAAAAAAAAAAAAAAAAAAAAAAAAAAAAAAAAAAAAAAAAAAAAAAAAAAAAAAAAAAAAAAAAAAAAAAAAAAAAAAAAAAAAAAAAAAAAAAAAAAAAAAAAAAAAAAAAAAAAAAAAAAAAAAAAAAAAAAAAAAAAAAAAAATCAAGGAATAGCTTGCCTGGAGTACAAAAAATTATTCTTAAAATATTATTGAGATTTAAATCTCTTAATTTTGATAATGATCTGTAGCAAGATATTTTGCTTCGAGTGGCTGTTTTCAGATATTTTTAGAAATGATTTGGGAAGTGTATCACTCAAAAAGTCCATGATAAGGAACAGCGCCGAGTTGCGGACACCCCCCAGCATCAAGCAGGAGCCCCCCGAGGATGCCACTGTGGTCCTCCCCCGCCAGCCTGTGCTCTGCTCCATGAGCGAGACTTCGGCCGGCCTCACCACCGGCATTGTCACCACCACACTCAACGTGCCGCAGCCCCACCTCTCTGTCACAGGCATGCACGGGGCCTCGCAGGCGTTGGCTGACGGCCTCTCTCCTAGGAAGAAGCCCAGAAAGCAGCAGCTGTGAGTACCATTTCATTTAATTTCTTTGGCCTTCTGAACACAAAAGGGAAATACATTGTTGTCTGTGATGAACCCAATGCTGCCGGGGAAAATGAATAAAAGATGGGGGAAATGCTGTGCTCATTTTTTATATTTTTTGTGAAGCGTGTCTGCATATAGATGGCTCTACTAGCATTTAGCCACAAAGGAGTCGATTAGTAGACCTTGTGACATTACCTGATTTGAATTGGCAGGAAAAATTTATTTTTTACTAGTGCTATGACTATATATTGTGTTATTTTTATTATAAACATTAGTAACAGCAAAATAAGATAACATAAAATATTTTCATAAATCAAAGAAAAGGGTAAACAGGCTAGACAGGCAGTACTTGTAACTGGCTCATCGGTGACTTAGTACAAGTGTAGCCATCTATGTGTAAAAAGAATCAAACAAGTAACTCACAGTGGGCATGGCATGTACGTATACATCATGCCCGTCAGCATTGGGTTAAACATGGGAATTGTCATTGTAGTGATAAGTCTGAATGCTCTTCATAAAAAAGAATAATCATCATTATCATGTAAAACTGTTAAAATTAGCCCTTGTATTCCATGGATGTGTGGGTGAGTGGAGTAACCTTTTGTATGTGTGCTTACATGTATAGATATTTATTTATTTATATTGTTATTTAATTATTTCTTTCATTTTAATACAAAAGGTGTTCCTTTTGGATTGAAGTTGAGGTAGTCTCATAGGATTTTGTTAATATTAATAGTTGTTCTCTTTTTATGTCTAGACAAAGTGAATTGAGAAGTTGTATTCTTCATTTCATGTTATTTAAAACTGATACTGAAAACTAGAAAAAAAAAATCAAGGAATAGCTTGCCTGGAGTACAAAAAATTATTCTTAAAATATTATTGAGATTTAAATCTCTTAATTTTGATAATGATCTGTAGCAAGATATTTTGCTTCGAGTGGCTGTTTTCATATTATTTTTAGAAATGATTGGGAATTGTATCACGCAAAAAGTCATGATAATTGATATGGAAGTGAAGTAGAATTTGAAAAACGACTTGCATCTGGTCATATTTTGAAGAAAAAAAAAAAATAGAAAAAAGGCCCAAGAAAATGATTACAGCAACAGTAGAATAAACAGATCATCTAAATAATGCAAGCAGGGACTTCTTAGTGTGGATAGGAAATTCTTTAGTTACAAATTCATGCTAGGAAAAGATGGAAGAGGAATGAAAGTTTTTTTTATAAAATAGATTATTTTTCCATTTCCTAAATATTCCTTTTCCTGCAGGACCGGGAACGAGCTTCAGGAGGCACGATCCAGTGAGGACGACCTTGACCACCCACCGGTGAAGAAGACGAAGAGAGAGATCGCCGAGGACAATCACGGTCAGTTGGCCTCTAGAAAATCAGTCTATTTAAGAACCTTTTTGTGTCACTAGTTTCTGGGGGATATTAAGGCTTGGAATATACAGATAGTCCCCTATTTAAGAACATTCTACTTATGAACATTCCATACATACAAACAAAATTTTTTAAGTACTAAAGTCTAAAAAATTGTTTGAAAGATGCTAGCAAACTTCAAATTTCCCGGGCATGAATATAGTTCAAGAGTCTGGTACTGGATAAGGTATGTCATACTTATTGGGACTTATTTATAGTTATTCTTAATGTAAACAAAACTTTAAAACAGTGGGAAAAAAGGTAATGGAGACCCGACTTTTGACATACAAACAAATCAACTTACAAACAGCTTCTTGGTCCCCATTATGTTCTTAAGTTGGGGACTTACTGTACTTTGAAGAAAAGTTTTCCCATGTAATAGTATAGAGCCTCTGTGTTGTTGCAGACCTAGAAGGAAGCGAAGACGAAGGCGGGGGATGGTCTGAGCCAGGTGGGGGCAGCAGCGGAGGGAGCTACGGAGGGAGTGGAGGGGGCCTGGGGGGAGCCAACGCCAGTAATGCCGTCAATGCCACCGTCGTCATAACCAACCGCCCCACCATGTCCCTCCTGAGCAGTTTCCGACAGACATGGAAACCGAGGCACAACCACTTTGTGCGCCACACAGATGTCAAACCCAAGGACGAGAGGAGATTGACTGTCAACGAGATCGCCAACCAGAAGATGGCTCTGCAACGGGTCAATGGATGGAAGGTGAGTGGGGTGTATTTCTTGGCCTCTTTGTTGCCACTGTTTTTTATAGAAATTGTGGAAGTTGGGAAAGACAAATGTGATCTATAGTACTCTTATAAAGTCTATACTTAGATTTTTCTTCGTTCTTTGTAAAGTAGCTTTTGTGCTGAATATTTGAATTTTTTTCCAGTTTGGTCTTTCACTGTCTCTGAGCATTTGAGCTGTGGTTGATTTATGTTTTGACATGTTTTTATTATTATTTATTTTTTTTTTTTGTAGGTTGTTCACCTCTCAGGGCAAGTGGATGACCTTGTAGAGCTCGAGTCTGATGTGGTTGACCGTCTGCATTTGCTGCTCACTTCCTTGGAGAAGAGAACTCATGGCAGAAAGCCATACAAGGTATTGTTTGCTGTCTTCTCATTTTTATTAACTTGGTCTTTTGTATAAGATTTATTATATCTAAAATTATATAGTGTAAGGACACGACTAGCAGGTATATAAAAAAAAAAACAGCTTTTATTTGTTAACCTTTTGGATCTGAGTGTTTCACTGCCCACACATCGCCAAAAATACAGGCACTAGGCTTTCTTGAGTGGCCACTCTCATGGGTATAAGCACTCATGTGGTGTTGACTCCTTGCCTCCCCTTTGCAATGTTATTATCTCATTTTTAGCTTTTTTGTCATTTTCCAGTGCCTATATTTGTCATTTGATATGTATCTAGATAGGAATAGACTTCCTAGCACAGGTAGTCTATAACACAGTGCAACAATGATAACAGTAATTAAGATTTTGTTGTTTGCCTTTGAATGTTACATTCTATATTCATTTGCCAGTAGGAGTAATGCCCTAAGTGCCCACTAAGTCTAATTATCCTCCAAGAGCTTTGTGCACTCACGGAGAGTCATTCCTGTCAGCCTGGCCCTGAGCCAAAATTTTCCGTGACAGTATATTCACGTCACCTGCCACACGGCCAAATTTTTTCATGAGTTAGGGAAGATTAAGTTTGATGTTCTTTCTTCTTTCCAGGACTTTGATAAAGACATCAATAGGTTGTCAGAGCTAGTCAAGGCCAACATCCAGAGATCCAAGATTATAAAAGACCAGATGACAGAAGCAAGAACACAGATGGAAAAGCTTTTTGAGCACAAGGGCAAGATTGTGGAGATCATGACAAAGTACAGCAGCAAGCGCAGTGTTCGCAAGAAGGAGAAGAGTTGAAGCCTTTTTGTAGGGGAGAGAAGTTGCATTGGGCTTTTTTGCTTCTAAAGCTGCCAAAGTGTTGTATTAAAGACAAAGGGCTTTATATATATATTTTTCCAGATTCACCCGGTCAATAGACAACAGACGTGGTCCAGGCTATCAGTCTTGTCCATTCACGTGCCAGGCATAAAGTGTGAATGCTGATAATTAACAAAAGTTGCAGGCTTCAGCTCAAAGTTGAATTCAGATGGAAATCCTTGTCAAACTATATAGATATGTACAAAGTATTATCATCATTATTATTAGTTTTTTTTACACCAGTGACTTTTTTTTTTGCCTTTTTGTTAATGGACAACTTCTCACCATCATTCAAGATACATCTTATTTGTCATTGTGGATTACTGTTGTGGCCAAGGCTACTTCTTCCAACTCAAGTACAATTTTATTTGTATACTCCAAGCAGAAATTTATTGTTTACAGTGCAAACCTGTAGCTTAAGGCTTAGATATAAGTGATCAGTGATATGTTATTTGTATTAAATATAAAATTTTATTATAACAAAGTTATATGTTATTCCTCGATAGTTTTAATTGGAACACAGTGATATGTACAGTATTCATAGACTGACTGTGAATCATTAAGCCTACCCAGGAATAGTCACTTCATTTATGTCAGTGGATGAAGTATCCCCTTTTTTTTTTCCTTTTTTTTCCATAAGTTTTAACATGTAAGAATACTGACCTGACAGAAGAGCATTAAGTTAGCATTGCAGACTTCAGAGTAGACATATTCTTTTAAGCAGTATGTTTTATTTTGTCCGTGCCAATCACGAAATAGGCGATGAGACTTTGTATACAGACAAGTTATTATTACCTTGTCAGTTGCCCCAGAACTTTGCTCGGGTAAAACTAGAAGGTAATGTTTAAATGTAAAGACATATTGTTCTATAAAATCACATACATTGTACAAAGGAAAAGCAATATAATAAAATCTGAAATCTTACCTCTTTTACCTTACTCTCATTTTTTCAGTGTTAATATGTGAGATTTAGTTACTGAAAATCAGGTCCATGCAAATTATATCTATACAAAAGTTTATTTCTCACTCACTTTACTTTATGAATACAATCATAAAGTCACTTGCTGCAAATATTTGATCTATTTTTTCATATGAAGTTGGTTAACAAATTCGCAAGATTTAATAACATTAAAACATTCACTGTTTTGCAGTGCTGCAAGACCCTACATGTCTAGCACATTTATTTTCTTAACCATTCACTGCTGTGTACTTCAGTATGTACATTTTGAAGACCAGACAGAAATACAAGGAAATTTTACATGGGGGTTTGCAGTTCTTGAAAAGTTTCGAGCAGCATATGACTGACTAAAGTTTGCAGACCACAGCAACAAAAAGAAAAGCTGTCTTTGCTCTTATAGCTGGATTTTATGTTAGCTCCCGCCCCCCCCTCTCATGTTCATCAGATGTATTACAAAAATATGGTTCGCTTCCTACCTTGTGGGTTTTATTTTAGATGTTCCTAATACCATTGATTAAATTACCAATTAATATCATTATTATTAACATAACCATTTTTTTATAGTAACTGTTATGTTTCTTACTATGATTTTCTGCACTTTTGTAAGATCAATGATTATTTTTGTTTCCTTCATATTTGTTCTTTTTCTTTTAGGAAGATTGACTATATATCAAACATACCTCCCAAGATGATTAAAATGGTTATTTTTAGACCTTGACGGTTTCATACTTTGGAAAGTTGATATAATGTTAATGTTGGTACAGGGCAGTGAATTGTACTGAGAGAGTGTAACCAGTCAATGTAACAGTAACCATTATGCAGTCCTAGTCTTTATTATGGAACACATTATCCTGATTACCATGCTCAGGAGTGAAATTGCCCTAAATCTTTACAGGATGTGCCATCTTACAATCAGATGCAGATATGATCCATCAGCACAGTAATCAATCACTGTGTATTCTAAATTCAATTCATAGTAAAAAAAACAAACTGAGCTGTATCTCTGGGATCAACAGATCAAAGTATATATTTTGTACCTTGAAAACATCAACATGATTTTCTGGAACCCTATGCAAATATTGCTAGAGTTCCATTCCATTCCTGCCTGAGCTTGCTTAAATGTAGGACACATCTCTTTGGGGTCAAATAAAAAGGTAAAGAAAAAAATACAATTCAGTTCTACTAGATTTATTAATTCATCAACCATTATACTGTACATACAAGATTAGAGGACTAATCTGCTAAACAAAATAAGTCCTCCCTACAACAAGATAAATCATTTACTTACAATAATTGGCATTAACAGGAGCAAGGGCCACTAATATTTACATAAACAATTTCTTAAGAATAATCCCAGAAGGCAAAAACTTGGAAGATGGAATCAAAAATTTGTGTTCATCTGAACAGACTGTATGAAATGCTAAAAATCAGCAACTTAAAAAGCTTAAATTGTTCATTATTTGAAAAACCTAAAAATCACTTTTCAGTTACCATTAAACATATAACCAACTCGTGTAAGTACAGGACATTTCAACGAATATGGGAGGGCTAAAGCCAGTTTTAACTCTCACTGCATGATTCACCAAACAAAAAGCTTACAAAAGATTTGAAAAAAATAAAAGATAATAAATAAAAAAATCCAAACAAGCTACCCTACTACAAGACAGCAGAACCTCCAAAGTGTGCTATTTGTAAACCACTATTTACTCTTTTTTTTATTTCTCAAAAAAAAATCTACTCTTCTGGACACTACAATACGCACACACTAACACAGCAAATAGGAAACATACACTAAATCCAAAGTCTACCAACTGACTGGCTTATGACAACCATAACTAATCAAAGTTCACAGAACCTGATGAGAGGCTGTGTACGCTTTCCGACGAACAGAACACACAGACTATTTTGACGAAGAGATGGAAAACTAGAGCGAGAAAGAAAGAAGCACTACAATGCAAGGTTCTACTGTTTTGTGGAGAACAGGAAGCAGGTCTGGTGGAGGTCTACAGCTCCTCTGCAGCACGAGCCAGTCTGGCTGAACAGATGTAGTCCAGAAAACAATAGAAGGTTTCACAGCATATATTCAATTCACATCTAAAAAACAAAACAAAAAAAACCTGCCCTTATAGAAATAAACAATACATAAATATACATATGAGAATAAAAAAAAAAATACTGCAATCTCCAAGATCTATAAATAAATAAATAACAATCTGTGAATATTTATATTAATCTAGATTTCCATGACTGGAGTCTTGACATCCAAGCCATTTTCTTTCTTTTTCCTTACCAATTTGAGCATAGCCTCAAAATACATACATTAAAATGAAAAGAATAAAGGAAAAACACTCTTGGCAGAATACCACTAGATTTGAGAGGATAAAGAAAGGCTCTTAGAAAGGGGAAAAAGGGGAAAAAAAAAGCCTTAGGTGTTTTAACAAAAGCAACTCCTGTCTCAGCCACAACTGTACTGACAAAGAGGCAGACCCAAATAAAAAAATAATAATAATACTTTTATTGTTTGGTTGTTTTTGATATACAGTAATGCATACATATGCAAACTTGTATATATACATACATATGCATATACATGTACTTATCTACACATATACATATACATGTACATAATGTATATGTATATACACATACATATACATCTATATACATATACATACACATATATACATATACATATATGGAGGGGATCCACACTGACAATGGCCGAGATAACACCAACACAAACAGAAAAAAACAAAAAAAGTGCAAATTGTCCTCAACTTTTAATCTCCTTTAAATCTGTACAAAATAAAATGATTGAATGAATAAAAAAGTAAAACAAAGAGCAAATAAAAATTACAAACACGTGACATTACCAAGGCAGGACTAGGTGAAGAGAAAAAATCCACTTTTAAATGAAGAAAATCACCATTACTGGAATGTTGGTTTTGCATAAAGGATTTCTTTTTTTTTTTATTATTATTTTTTTTTTTTTACTTTTTCGTTTTATTTTCATATCTCATTATTTCACTAAGGCAAAGACTTGCATTAGCAGTATATAAAATAAAAATCAATTAAATATTGAATACAACCTACAATGTCTTTGACACTAGAAGAGAAGAAATGTGTCCAATAATAACAAGAATAAATAGCAACATCTTTGGCTACTAAAAACGGGCAAGTATCACAAAAGGATGTATGGCAGAGACAGGACAAAGTCAATCATCTTGTGCCCCATCGTAGTTGTAAATAAGGCATAAATCCTCAACCAAGAGACAAATAGTGTGTCATCTTGTGAAAGCTCTTGATTTTGAAAACAATAATAATAATAAAATAACAGAATAAGAAAAAAAAAAAAGAGAAAAAAAGTTCATAACTGATCTTCTTTATTATGATTAAAATCTGCTAATCCAATTTTTAAAGTTAATACTAATAAAAACTGAATGATAAAACTATAAACTGCAATAATAAAAATAATGATAACGACGATGATCGTAATAATAATCAAAACAAAGAAACAAACGAAAGCATCCATAATATAAAAAGAAGGAAACGTGAGTTTGACGTTAGGACACAAACCAAACCACAAACTCAACCTGGGAAATATACAAATACCAAATTACAGTCAATAGCTACTGATATGGCTCAGGAGAGGTGTGTAATTCATTTACAATAACCAAACTAGATTTGATTTAGTGTGGTCATAATAGGGAAAATATGTACATCTTGCAAACACACCTATATTCATTGACGTACACGGGTATATACACTAGTATAGTACAAGGCAAGGCGAGAGACTGGCCCTCTTCTTGCTAATCGTAAAATGTATCATTGGTTCCATGTGATTTGGAATCATAAAAAAAAGGGAAAAAAAGAGGAAAAAAAATAATAATAATAAAAATAAAATAATACATAAAACTTCCACTTTCCTGTTCTGCAATCAGAACAACTTAAAATAGACAATTACCATTACCAGGGAGGTGGGTGCTGCGTGAGCCCACCCGCACGTGGGTACCCTTCAAGACACTGCATGTGAGGCACTGAGGTCAGAACTATGTACAATGCCACGCTCCTCATGTTACTGTATGGAACAGCTTCCCCGATGACATTGGAGATCTCTGAATCGTCTTGCAGATTTTGTATGTATGTACGGATTTTCTTTTCCCAATTTGCTTTATTTTCTCCAAAGTAAGGACATTGATAAAAAAGTTCGCCAAACTAAAAAGATCCGAACTTGTCCCTGCCACCACTCGACCACCCCCCCCAAACCTACTCCGAGGGCAGTGTCCGCTTCCCGACGCCTGCGCTGCTTTCCCACTCTCCTAAGCCATCCTTCCTTCAACCATCCTCTCAACACTCCCCTGGGCACCCAAGCACACCTCAGCACACAAATGTTCACTGTGGTAGAGGGAGCAAATGAAAAAAAAAAAAAAAAGAAAAAGAAAAAAAAAAGAAAGAAAAAAAAATTTGCAAGAAAAAAATAATAAGTTTTAAAAATTAACCTGCTGACACTGAGTATAAAAAAGAGACTTTATGAGAAGGGTAGAGACACATTTGGAAATCTCTCTCCCTCACTGTTATCTTTTTTTTTCTCTCTCCTCCACCTGCACCACAATCCAATTTTCCAGAGTCATATCATCAAATTGGTCATAACTATCTGCATCATCCAGCTGTTTCCACACCACATGAAAAGTTAAGTATCACCAACAAGCAACAAGTACTGGGGGAGAGGGGGCTTCATGTGGTCCTCCTACACAGTATTCCCACCCTGGCTTCACCGGGTCAGGTTGTCGTGAGCTTGCCTTATCTTGGTCTCCGTCATGTTGGGAACTAGCTTGGAGAAGAGGTCCCGTATGAATGCATCGGTCACCCCTGGGTTCGACCGCTCAGCCGTCTCGAAAGCCGATTTGAGTTCCTCGATGGCATCTGTGCGGTGTGGGTCTCCACTTCTACTGGAGTGTCGGTGGCG